GAGAACCAACCACAGTAAAATCTAAGTGACTTTAATGCAACATTTAACTCTCGGCATAAAAGGGGAAAAAGGCTTTCAAGTTTATCACTCTGGATCTGCGTGTTGCGTAATACATGTTGTTTTTTCAGTGGAGGCAATCATTTGTATTTTTTTAAGGTTACTGAGCTTGAAAAGTGTTTTTAAATTCAATTGAAGAGTTTTAAGAATCTGCTATAAACGACGAGTCAATGGTCCTATAAATAGACTGACGTATCAACAAGTTGTGAGCTTAAACAAGGAAGAAATGAAAAAAATAACTGTATAATTTGTGTAGAGAAGTGTTTAGAAACAATGGTTTTATATAATTTTTCTAAAAATGATATTTTAATTTACACGTGAATTGGATTTAATAATGTTAATGTTTTTCTTTCTTTCTTTCTGTTTCTGTTTCTTTTCTTTTTTTTCTTTTTTTTGTTAAGTACATGTATTTTATTATACTGTACTTACATGTAGATTGGAGTTTTATTTTGACAGAGAAAAGCTTACATGTACTAGTATGGTGGTGAATTCTAAACTTTTATTGTATTCCATAAAATTATATATATATATATATATATATATATATATATATATATATATATATATATATATATATATATATATCCCTTCTTTTTTATTCGTGGCTTATACTTTGGCTCGAAAGATATTGCCGCATATAAGTAACGAAATGAAAAGAAAATGATATTTCTAAATAACAAATATAGGGATATAACAAGTTTTTATCGCCTTATATTTTGTCAAAACCTACCGTGATTCAATAACAGGATATAAGAATTATCTATAGGACTCGGCTTGCGTAATACAAAAGAATGCTTATCTTACGGATATCGGCTGCATTTGTGACAATAAAAGAAAGTGCACATATTCAGAAAACAAATATTACTTAGAAGAAAAAAATCGTTAATTCAAGGAATTTTACCCTTATAATCTGGCGGTACTTTTAGCTTACCTGAGCCATATTTTAAGTTAAGACTCTATCTGAATGTTGTCATCTCGTTTTACATTTTCGACTACATATAAAAATAATGGAACCAGTGTCAAGGACACAGGTCGTACACAGCCTTTGAGTAATGAAAAATTTTCAGTTTGTTTTAGAACAAAGGGTTATTAACTCCCCTTTGAAGCAGAATTAATAAGAACGATTGATAGTAAAATAGGTTCACTTCAGAAATTTTCTTCTGTAGAATTACTGTTCTAAAATAAGAAAATGTGAAAATTTTATTTATACTATGAAATATGAAGATAACGAACAGTAAACAAGCTCAAAAGTCCATTGAAGCAATACAAATTCGGAGCAAAGCAAACATTGGCCTCTAAACCATCAGAGGTGGGATCAGGTGCCATGACGAAGCAAGCATTCCTTGTCGACGGGCATCTTCATCTGCTTACTTCATCTAGTGTACATTTGTATCTCAATCATTGAATCTGAAACCTTAGGTGGCATATTTTTACTCCTATATGCAAGATAAATTATGTAAACATGTGAGAAAAGTGTGGCGACATACACAATATTTATGCGTAAGATAATTATAAATTAACGTGTTAGTTACTAATCTTTTAGAGAGCCAGATTTAAATTTGAGTAAATTCAATGCATAAGTGATGCCAGAGGACATTTTTACCGATAATTCGAACTTTTGAATGTTTTCATTTTAGATGCTTAGATAGTGATACAATTAATATGTATTTGGCAGATAGGTTCGTATAAAGCTTGTCTGTGTATATGCTCTGTGTCTTCTAAAGCAAAATAAATGCGCTATAAACATTGAATATTTATCAAATATAGAGAAATTAACGAGAAAATTATCGAATGGCACTGTACCACATGTACGTGTAGGCGACACCAGATATTGTATAGTGAATATTCATTTCGGCCATATTCTTGAGCAAAGTTTAATAATTATGAAACTTTGCTTTTTTCAAACGATCACTAAATATGGGTCCAAAATGGGCCTCGTTCTTTCTCTTTCTTTACTTATTTCGTTTTGCAGGACAGTGTCATTCTATTAAAGGTCCATTGTATAAAGATTAACTTTTACATAAGCTTGCTGTTAAATGGTTAAATTTTCATTATATTCTTTGTGTTTATTTTAGCCATTAGTCCATACCTTATGCAATACAATGTCCTAGTATCTGAGTTCAGTTTTTGTTGTTGTTGTTCTTGTTTGGTTTTTTAGATAGCAAAGTAACCTGGATTAATTGTTGCCCTCTTGTTAAAAAAATGAATTCTAAGACTCCAAAAGACATATGTAGAATTTTTTTTTTAATTATATATTAAAAGTACAGAGGTAACGGCCAAACTTAGATCTCATTGACGGTAATTGCAATGGTATTGTATAGGTATTTGCCATTATTCTCAATGACGGTAATTGCATAGGTATTTGCCATTATTTACAGGAGCCTTGTCAGGTATATATATGTACCCAATTGGCATCTCTCCTCCTAAACAAAATCGGTCAAAGTTCAGATCTTTTTCTCTGTGTGGGAACTAACGATGAAGCAACTAGATACGGACTGTCAGTCTTTTGTGATAGTTATGGTTCACCTGTTCCTTAGGATGTCTCGAAAAATAAAACCAGCGCTTCTCACTTTACAAATCTAAGTATAAGCTGAAACGAAAGTCGAGTGGTCTTCTGATATATTCAGGGAAATTCCCCCATGTAAATATTGTATATAAACAGGGAAATATTTGAATGAGGTGAGAGATTTTTGTAGCTTTTAACTCATTAAAAAACTATAGAAGTTAATGTTAAGGGTTAACAATTGCATACTTATTGACAATTATTGAAAAGAGAAATTTATTTAGACAATAAAAAAGTTTATTTGTGGATGCAATGAATCATTATAACGGACATTGACGAAATAGGATTGTGTTACTTTTGTCTAGAACAAGAAAAGAATAATGTAAAAGAGAATATTCACATTCACCATATAGTTGTCATGAAATTTTGAGCTGAAGAAAAATGATAGAGGTTTTTAATGTGATTTTTCAGATTTTAGTTTTCGTATGACATAGGCTTTCGTGTCTCCTTGTGTAATTTTTGCTCATCAGATTTCCAATATTTAGTCATCTACCTACAAAGGACGAGATTTGATGAAAATCCGTGATGGAATCTCATATCTTAAATCCCTGTTTGCTTTAAATCTGACATCTATGTTAATAAAGCTTTTACGAGTGTAGTAGGTATATGTCAATTTTTATCTGGATAAGAATCGATATTAAAAAAAAAATAATTTTGTCCTTATGTAGACATTAGTTTTATCATCCATCTCAGCTTTTAAAATTTCAGACGAAAGTGTTGCAAAAGTTAAACCACTTTCTGAAACAAATTAAAACAAAGTTAAAGATTACAAACCTTACCTCAGCGAATGTTATCTTTAAGGCGAAGTCTCACAATTAACTACTAACCTAATAGTGTGCATCCCTACATACAACATTTATGCAGTTTGGTATGCATCCCTAGATACTAAATCCATGCAAGGTTGGTCCAGGTATGGATTGAAGTTACACTGGAACAAGCCTGCTTCAGAAACTTCAACCTGGTCACTCATATGGAAAATAATTGTCAAATCCAGCATCCAAAGCAAGACTGGTAGTGTGCATCCATTGATGCATCATCCTTGCAAATTTGGTTCTGGCAGGCCTTATAGTTTCTTAGTCTGCTTCAAAAAAATTAACTTAATCACTTATCCGGAAAATATAGATTAAATCAAGCATCCGAAGCAAATCCAATAGTGTGCATCATTAGAAGTATTAGCCATGCAAGTTTGGTCAACATAGGGCTTATAGTTACATCAGAATGAATTTGCTCCAAAAAATTAACCTCACTCATTTGCAAAATAAAGGTCAGATCCAGCATCCGAAGCGAGTCTGGTAGTGTGCATCCTTAGGATTATTACCCGTGCGAGTTTGGACAGTATAAGGCTTATACTTACATGTACTGAAAATGAGACCTGCTCCAAAAACTTTAGATACTTTATATACCGTAACCTGCTCCAAAAACATAAATCTGGTCATTCTCTGGCTAAAAATGCAGCATGAGGAAGGTGAAGATAACGAACATTGATCGATCTCATAAAAACAACAAACGATATCTGTGAACAGGACATAGACAGGGACCCCCGGAAATTCTAGAGGTGGGATCAGGGCCTAGGAGGAGTAAGCGTCCCCTGTTGACCGGTCACACGCGCCGTGAGCCTATGTATTGACCGAGTAGACGGAACATTCCGTAGTCAAATTTAGTACAAAAAACAAAGGCCTTGCAATTGGTATGAATTGGTATGAGTCAAGTCAGCGAAAATACGACCAAGTGGCAGGTTATATTTGCTGATAAGGTCATTATAACGACCATAGAATTTACGAAATGCTGACTTTAGACGAGGTTGTTGAAATCCCTGTAACTTCAACTTTTGTGCGAGATACAATCATGTGTATCTTCTTAAAGCAATAGCGCCCTAGATATATTTCTGTGGTATAAGATACTTGTTTAATAGTCTGATATAAGGGTAAGATAATAAGAAATCTTCAATTAAATTATTACAATGCATACATTTTTTTGTATTTTTTCCTGATTCTTGCAAAGGCAGGAAGTTAAAAGCTAAAATATATGTCAATGTTATTCTTTTTTTTTTAAATACTAGACATTTTGAATTCAAATATCTTTTTCCTCTTTTCATGTGAAATAAACAGAAATAAAGATTTATACATTTCAATGTCCTTTTTAAGTTTTTATAAGACAGTTTGCAGCTATATACGTAACAATGACACTGAGGATCACACAGAGACAGCCTTCAGTTTTGGTCCAATAGAGGCTTCTGTTGTGTATCTGCTAAGAATTATTTTTTAATTTTATGTTTTATCCCAGAAGTAAATGGGACTGGACAACAGGTACTGTCTACTTTAGAGCCCTCTCTCTACGTTGTGTATTTTATTACTGAATTATTTTCCATTTTTTTTCGCAGGGCCGACGTCTTCAATGGGATCATGGCGGCCCACATTTTCCCATCGGTACGTAGAGCACACGTGCTTCAGATTCACACAAGACGTTATTAAGCTTCATTAACCTGAATCTAATTTTGTTAAATCGTGTATTGAAGGTTATCAGTTTGAATTTATGATCTTCAGATTACCTCAGTATGTTTATTTTAATTTAGGATAAGCAAACTAAAACTTAAACTGATATTAGTTATTATATAAACTGTATTTTATAGATACCCTTATATCAATATTTGAATGCAATTAATACCTGAAAGTGGATTTCATTTTTAGTGAATGTTTGTCAAGCAATATTAATTTTCTATTGAAGTAATGAATTTTATACCCTTGCTTGGGTCATTATACTTTATACTGATAATTTAAACAAAAATCAAACTCTTGCATTTTCTGGCCAATGACTTGATGTAAGGAATATGTAATAAAGAAAGGCTTAATCATTTCAACTGTTTCCAAAGGAAATAAAAATATATCGTTGACAATAAAAAAAAAAAAACCTTCTCTGGAAAAAAAAGGGGGGGGGGGTCTTGTTAACAATGTTCTTCCTTTTGTCAGTAAAAGAATGTTTTTAAATTCTTTGTTTTAAATTGCACGGCTGTATTAAAAATCATACAGATCAATATACAGGTAAACCAAATGCTACAATTCATAACACAAGAAAGAAATATTTCTCGGGAAATAACCGTGTTTGGGTGATCACTTGTTTAAGTTTATTTTTATCCTGTATTGAATTGGGTACCTTTGTACGTCGGCCGGGACTTTTAAACATTGTTAGAGCTCGGCAATCTTTTGACGTGTATTGACACTGCGACCCAGATAATCAACAAAACACTTTGCAGGTATTTTTTACTTCCTTGTTGTATTAACAGCTGGCCGATGTTCTAACGGAATCCCTAAGTGCCGACGACTTCGGACCTTTGGACCTCTCCTTAAACAGTATGACGGGAACCGCCTCTGACGCTCGTGGACTGGACGAGAGTGATTTCTTAAATCCAACAGCGCTATCAGAAGGTAAGATAGTGAGAAACAAAACGAAAGTAGAAACTGCGTTGGTAAATATTTCCCTGTTTGTTGTAATTCTTCCGCAGGCTTTAGTTCCTTCAATCATCTGCAAACACCTTTAGTATCTGCATTTTATAGAAACACTTGTCATTATCAAGAACATGATAAAATGAACCATCATCTTTTGCTAATGGTCAATTTAATAGTTTTTAGTTTTATGTTAATGGACATCAAGGGAATTTAACATGGGAGTTTCAGAGATAACTTGTAGTATGCAAATCCGTGAATTTTACTTGAGGCTACTTGTCAATTATCTTTCACACAAATTTCCAATTGTATCTTGTTCACAGTCATATATTTCTCTCTCGAGATCACGCCCCGTCCCGCTATACAGATTTGCATTGTATGCACGTGTCTTTGCTGTAGCTATCTTAATACGGTGTCTATTACGTGAAACTGATAACGATCTCATACTACTGATTTAATAGAACCCGGAAGTTAATAATTGGGTATTTCAGGAGGTGCGTATAATTAATGTCGTTATCAGTTTCACTTCCTTGACCGGAACAGAGCTTCATACAGTAAGATGTTATTAATTTAATTAAGACTATTTCACTGTTAAACAACTTAGTTTATAAATGAAAATTTATTAACATGGTATGCTCAGTAAAATCTATTGAACAGATATATTAGTTATTAGTACAGAGCCCATCTATACAAATTTTGTAGGTATATGCATTATTACTTATAGAGCAGTAGCGTTGTGCATAATGTTGCCAATTATATATGCTTTATTAATATCTTTTTTATATCAACATTTATCCTTCTTTTAAAAAGAAATTTTGATTTTACGGCATCCAGTTTTAAATACATTTTGAGCCCTTTCTCGATGGTCGACTTAGTTTGAACGATTCAACGTTTTCAGTAAAGTTAGTGAATTGTGTATATAAATATTACATGTCTTTCATGCCTTTGTAACTAAATACAATCACGTGATGTATCCGCACGTTTGCACTCGACTTTAACTCGATCTGAACAGATTCTGCGAACAGACAACACATTCCGTGAAAACAAACCATGCTGACATGACATTGGGAATTTAAACAGGCTTAATGCAGAGACAAGTTTGGCTTTCCAGAAAGCCTGAAATGTCATCTCTTTGGCTTCATTAATGTCACAGAATAAACAGTGGAATGTTAATATTATTTTCTCAGCTATTACAGGCAGTAGTATCGCTTTTGAAAAAATGGGGGGTGGAGGACAAAAAAAAAATCGACGATTTATCTGAACAATCTTTGACAAAGGGAAAAAGGGGCTATCCAAACTCAACATTTTCATTTCTTGGAAGGGAAGGAGGGATTACAACTTTTCCGACAAACATATTTTATATTATAATACATTCTCATGGGATGATTTGACGTACCATACGTTCAGACTACCTAAATTAAAAAGATCCCTCTTTTTGTTTTATTACTTTATATAAAAATAGGACTTTCCTGTAAATTACACAATTTAAATCAATCACGTTTCAAAGATATTAGAAATTTAAAACAAAAACCGATTTATTTTATCGATTCAGATTTTAATTAACAGACACAGTTTAATTTTTTTTATTCAGTCGAACTATGGAAACATGGGGTTATTCAAGTTCAAAATCGGTGAAAAATTTAATTTCAACGTAAATAACATATATCATGTTTAGCTACACCCAATCTCGTATTTTTATTTTTTAGCTCAGATACGCCTTATATAGCTTTAACAATTATTCCGAAAGAAGATGGATAAAAACTTAGCGTTCCTTTTGACTTTAGTTCTTAGCCGCCTACTACGGCAGCAAGGAAGTTTTAAAGCGCCAACTTAAATTAATCTGAACCTGAATTAATTCCCAAGACTTTCCTTATTTTCCTTAACCGTATCCTCTGAAGTGACTTGGCCATCGAGCCACTGGGATTTGATTGATTATCGAGCCACTGGGAATATCAAGGGAAAAATTGAGACACTCCTGCATCATGCCCTTCTGCTGCCCATGCAGATTCATGTTCTAACGCTATATTATGTATAATATAAGTACATGTACATGTATACGCTCCTGTGAAAAAATCATGCATAAAGGTAATAAAATTGAAAGTTACCATTTGAGATTAAGTATTAACACACCGAAAAGAACCCTAATCTACCAACATTGATTTTATAGGCTGTTCCATGAGACACACATTTAAAATTTATAATTTTGGCTTTATTTTAAGAATACGAGGAGATTTTTTTTTTTTTTACCTTTCCTCATTGACAAAAAAAAAAAACGCAAATTAGAATTGCATAAAGAAAATGATAACAGTTGCTTTGTTTATTAATTCTTAAAATCTGGGCCAGGTAAAGAAAACTGTATCTTTTCCTAATACTTTTCTACAGGGGTAAATTTAAAAAAAAAAGAATATAGTGCACACATCCGAGAAAATACTCATAATGATTCTTTATGATCTTTATTCCAGTGCCTATATATACGGTATTAATTATCGATTAACTAAAGTGCACATAAAAGTGAAGTCTTTGCCATTGTATATACGCATTTAATGTGAGTTGTTATTTAAATGTTTTTACTGTTTTCTTTCATCAGTAAATCTTGGATCCACGCCTTGGTTTATACACTCAATATGCAATGTTTTCTGTATTTTGATCCCCGCGCGCTGACCATCGTTTTACGCAATGGCCTAGATACAATGTTTATGTAAATAAACCGTTAATGAAGACTCACCACCACCCAAGTGATCCTACCTCTATTACTCTTAATGAATACTGGTGTGGTTTTACTTTAACTTTAAGATGGACCATTTTGTTTAATAATAATAAGACAGACTTTGGTCAATTTTGTTTACATCTCTATATTTAGAAATCGTGTCATCATCAGGTCCTTTGCCAGACCACCAGCTTATCAATGGCAGCTTACACTAGGACTTTACTTCCGGTGATTCAAACTTAATGTGTCATCTCCCGAGGGAGATGACAAAAAGGAGTGCATGTTATACATGTACGTCATAGAGGAAATGATTAAAAATATTGTTATGTTAAATGAGATGTTACTGAATTATATGAATGCATGAACTTTAGAAATTATTGGGATTTGCAGGTACATGTATAGTAATATTAATTTTCGTTCTGAAATATAGTAATCAGACTTGAATCATGTGTAAAATAGAATAAAAGTACCATGTAGAGGTTCAATAAGCTGTTTGCTGGTTCTGCTGCTTGACCAAGAAAGGGAAGTTTTAAAAATCGAAAGATCAGCTCTCAAGGACCCCCTTTTTTGGCCCTTGAATCAGAAGTACTTTTGTTTACTGGTGTTTAAGTAAGAGCTCCTGTAGCAATGTGTCAGCTCTTCTTTTTTTGAGTGGTCGTGAACTACATAAAAGTCTTCTGTTTAGCTCGTTATCTCGCCATTTTCCTTATATATGTTTATCAACACTGTTGTTTTATGTTTTTTTTTCTTTTAGAATCGAGTATTTACGAATTATCTCAGCCTCAAGACCTCCTCGTACATTTCCCTATGTGGTCAGTGTCACAACCACTGGTGAACATTGATGATTCCAGCGAACTTGGACGCGTGCAGTACGAAGTTGAGGTTCCAGCTGACGGATCTTTGACGTCATATCCACACAGCCCCGGATCAACGGGAGATAACTCAGACTACAGTTCTGGTAAATTGATGGTTATATGTAGAATTTCAAGTATAAAATAATGAATAGATAAAGTATATTTGAAGAAGATTTTTTTTAACTTTGAAAATATTTTTGAACAAAAAAGTCAAAATATAAATATACAAAGGTTGCATGGAGAACGATGGTATGGGCATTACATTATTTTCTTTTATGTTTTGTCTATCTATCTAATAGACATCTATCTATATTATCTGTCTGATTTAATTTAAATAGCGTGGATATGGTATAAGTTTTCTATCGGGTTTTGATATGCCTATGTACATCCAATTTTAGATTCTTCAGGCGAGGCGAATCACCCTCGAGGTTCCGGAATGATAGCCCTACAAAGGGTGAACCTGCCAAACAGGGACCCTGCTCTATCAGAGGTAGAAATAAAAAAGGAACCCAACATGGGTCTTCCGGATCCGTCAATATTACCGTCCAAATATTATGACGACGAGGATGAGGTCATGAGTGAGACGGACAGTGACGGACATTCGAGTAGTTCCGAGAAAAAGAAACGTCCAGGCAGAAAGAAGGGGCAGAGTAGGTATTTTAGAGAATCTTAATTCAATTTAATTAAAGAACCTAGTGTATTTGAATTTTTGACTTCGAACTGATACAGAGTCAGAAAAGCTTAAATATGTTATGCGTATAGCAACAGTATCTCTGAACTTTGCACATTATGTCAGCCAAATATTTATTCGAAATTCAAGATGAACATTTAACATTATTGAACGCTTAAGAGGTACTAGTGTTTCTTTTACTTGATAAATTAGACAAACATTTAGCATATAAGAATTTCCTCAACATAATGCGACCTATTATCAACATACCAAGCCGTAGATAAAATTCAAACGTCTCTTTATCATCAACACAAAAATCTTATCTGAAAAATTAAATCTATTTGCATTAATTGATAGCATCCAGTGTATACCATCTGTGGGAGTTTATTCGTGACCTTCTACACGATGACAAATACTGTCCACGAATCATAAAATGGGAATCGGAGGCGGAGGGAATATTCCGGGTAGTGAAGTCAGACGAGGTAGCAAAGCAATGGGGCAGCAAGAAAAATAACAGATCTAAGATGACGTATGAGAAACTAAGTCGTTCTTTGAGGTAATTGTCCCAGTATGAAAAGAGAGATAACCCTTGATAGATCGTCTTTAGACACGAGTTATATTCCTTATATTCTATCCGTGTTTTATAATGCTTTTAGGTAGTCTTTTTGTGATGTTAATTCATTCATTACTGCAAGATATAATAATTTGATTAACATTTCTGGAACTCTTTCAAATCGTTCTTCACAAACATTGAGGTTTAACTGAAAATTAAAAACTAAAAATATTTTTGCATATTGGCAAAATAGAAACAACTGTTAGGATTGATACTCTTTAGCGAATAATAAAAACAAACAACAAAGACAACGATTTTAAGTCTATGATTCTGACAAATATATCAGTTGTCAGATAGTTTTAGATTTGCTTTAATTCTTTATTGCTCAATGAAATGCTACACTGATCGGTTTTGAAAGTTTCCATGTTTTGACGAGGTGTTTTGAAAATCTTTATATCTAGTAGTAAAATGCAATATAGAACTCAACAATGTCGAGTAGACTCGATATGCTCTTTACTGCGCTGACCTTGACGAAGTCGAGAACTTAGTCTATACCCAGGGCTTCAGTTTCCCTTGTTGAAGTTTTCAGAACAGGTCTATTTACTGATTAAGTACAAGCTCTTACTAGACCAAACTTGCAGCGATGGCGCATATACATGTAATGATACTTCGGTCTTGCTTGGGGTGTTGCATCTAAGCTATATTTTGTAAATGAGTAATTAGTTTGAATATTTGTAGTAAATCATTTCCAAATAACTGAAAAATCTACCAGGACAAAACTTGCATGATTGATGGATAATGCATCAAGGGATATTATGTCATACTTACAAATGCTATATATCTGACTGTCAGATCTGAATTTTCCGCTGATGAGTGGCCAGTTTAATGTTTTGAAGTATTTTGAAGCATAAACTTGCATGAATCATACATTTAAGGAAGCATGCTACTCCAATACGACTGTATTCTCTAGGTGTGAAGTTAGGAAAGCATTGAAATAGTTTAAGTAACTCTGTGCGTCGTTTTTGAACCCTCCTATATTTGCCTACTTTTTAGATAATTCTTTGAAGCTTTTGACTACCTGCTCTTTAAACCCCAGACAACATTTCTAGTAGATTTCATACTTTGTCTTTTTGTTTGTAGATATTCCAGAAAAGAAGGATATTTTGCAGATATTCCAAAAGACCGAGGACTTCCGAAGAAACTTTGTTTTAAATTCGGACCTAAGGCACACGGGTGGCGAAAAATGTAGTATGTCCTGTAACAAACCTAATTGTAGAAGGATATTACATTGACGAATCAAAAGGACCGTTACATAGCGTGTGACAAACGGCAGCAAACTGACCCGTGATGAGATGTGAACCCCGATAGTGTGTGCGGTGTATGAACCCATGTAATCTCATTTTCACAGCTGACTATTTTGTAAAATATAGATATGTACAAATTTGATTTATCACCGGTGTCAGACATGATGCATTCCATTGTGCTAGAAATCCGAGAGATTGAGAGAGAGAGAAAGAGTGAGAGAGGGAGAGAGATTTAATAGAGAGAGATATTTCCTTTTACTATATGTATACACACATATATATATAGGTCGTCTGCAGTTCTAGACGCTAAGCTTTGAACTTCTAAATAATATTCTTCGACAGAAATTTAAGTAAATAGTAGAGGTAGATAACGTTCTAGAGAAAAGTAGAGATATTGAAACAATAGCCATACCCCATTTAGCTGCTGTCTGCAGAATGTGTTCTAGTTTTATGAATGATATTTTATTTGAATAGACTTTATGCACTAATGTAAAATATTTTAAAAGTTTAACAAAATGTACAAAAGCATGGTAATAAACTCCTTATAATTTGAAATAACATCACATGACATTTATCTATGTACAAACTGTGGGTACTGTTTTTGTAAATCATATCAATTGTATGCTAATTCCATTGTTTTTTATTTCTGTTTTATCTGTCCTATGTACAGAAAGATTTGAATTAAGATATTTTTAATTTTTTAGGAGAATTTCAAAAACTTTAAATTAAATAAAATGAAAAATTTTGAAAGTTTTTGTTTTCTCTGATTTTTTTCCCCTGATTTTAGACGGTAATGGCCAACTAACAACTAAACTGTATGCCAAACAAGAGACCAACTTTTCATCAAATTTCCTTATTCATGTAGTAATATTTCGCTATCACCTGCATATGGTGTTTGTCTCCTCACTTATTCGATACAAGAGAGCATGTTCTGAATACGATCAATTTTTAAACCAAACCAGGCTACTGACAAATAAGTTGATGTTACATGGATTTCAACAAAAAAAGTCAGCATATTGAAAATACTATTGTCGATATAATAACCTTGATTGCAAATACAACCTTGCATCTGGTCATATTTTGTCTGAAATGTTTCATACCTATTGTTAGGCCATTTTTTTCATACTGAATAGACTACGAAATTCTACATTTACGGGCACACGGGGCATGTGACCTGTGGACAAGGGACGCTCACTCCTTTTCACCTGATCACCCCTCTTGAATTTTTATTCCCTGTTCACAAAACTGTATTGTTTTTAAGAATTTGAAATCAATCACTGTTAACTTCACCTTTTTTCATTAAAACATAAAACATGATTTATTTTTTAAAATGATAGTACATGTACATGTGTATCTCTTATTTTCGAATATTCAAGTTTCTTAAAAGTAACACGTCTATTCTAGTCTAATAAAAAAGACCAGTTGATTACGATTATAAAGATGCCATTTTGTACCGATTAATTTAGAGTATGTAATCGTGAATCGATGTTTGATATGTAGTTCCGACTCTTCAAATACGGAATTCTATATTTTTTTTTTTTTTTACGCATGAGATTACTAAGGACAAAATCTGGGATATTAAAAGGTTTGCAGAGTAAGACCAATCATTTTTTAAAGGGATATTTATTTATTCTGATATAAATGTTTGTCATTTTGATTTTTTTCAGTAGCAATCTCAGAAGTAGAAAAAATATGTTTATGGAGAAAAAAAAAACAAAAAAAAAAAAAACAAACAAACATGTTTATGGAACAAAAAAACAATGGTTAAAAAAATTTATTCTTTTGAAATATATATTATAATGCATTGGTAAAATACAGTAATTCCAGGTAAATCCCAGATAGAGATCAAACTATAACTGCTATCAAAACATATTTCACGCCTATTGTTCTATACCTAATTATCAAATGTGTGCAAAACGGGAACACACCAATTCTAGAGACATTCAAGCTGTGTTTTGTTTGTGTTTGCAAGCAGTAATTGGGAAGCCAAGCGGGAATCGGAAAAAAAAACCAAACATAAAACGTTTGTTACTGAACAATAAAATAAAAGCAATCAACAAAAAATATTTAAAAATATCAAACTTGTACTTAAAGAAATAAATTAATAACAGTACTAGTGAATTTAAAGGGCAATTTCTTCTGCTTTAATATATATATATATATATATATATATATATATATATATATATATATATATATATATATATATATATATATATACTAGACACGGGTTGACATTGTTATGAATGCATCCATGTGCATATCGGACATTTACAAAATAGATATTTTGTTAATTGAATCGATTCGATTAAAACAAAAACCTCGGTTTTTGAATACTTTTGATTCGATTTTTGGAAACAAAATGTTTACTTCAGTTCTGTTTAAACCTGTTATAGTTATTGAAAATTCGAAATAAATATTAACCTATTTGAAAGTTTTTTTCATCTTTTATGATTCAACAAATGTAATATGTTTTACTTTTTAGCTCACCTGAGCTGAAAGCTCAAGTGAGCTTTTCTGATCACATTTTGTCTGTCGTCAGTCTGTCTAGCTGTCTGTAAACTTTTCACATTTTCGACTTCTTCTCCAAAACCACTAAGCCAATTTCAACCAAACTTGGCACAAAGCAATTCCTTATGTGAAGAGGATTCAAAATTGTTAAAATGAGTGACCACGCCCTTTACCAAGGGGAGATAATTAAGAAATATTGAAATTTTTTGGTAAATCTTTAAAAATATTACTCTCAAGAACCATTTGACCAGGGAAGTTGAAACTTATGTGGAAGAATCCTCAGGTAGCGTAGATTCTATATTGTTAAAATCATGACCCCCAGGGAAAGGGTGGGGCCTCAATGGGGGGTTGAAATTTTATATAGTTATATATAGGGAAAATCTTTAAAAATCTTCTTCTCAAGAACCTTTTGGCCAGGAATGTTGAAACTTATGTGGAAGCATTCTCAATTTCCTTTAAATCTTATCATGACCTTTCATGACCCCTGGGGGTACGGTGGGGCCACAATGGGGGAGGGGTATCCATGGGAGTATTTATAGGAAATTTTTTTATGAATTTTCTTTTCCAAAACTACTTGACCAGAGAGGTTTTCTGAAATGTAAATTCATATAAATGTACATTCAAATTTGATGATGACGATCACAGGGTGTCATGATAGGGTACAACCACAATGGGAGAGGGGGGAACAGAATATTTACTGTAAATTTTACATATGAAAGTCTTTGATGAAAAATCTCAAAGTTAGAATATGTATCAAAAAATTAATATAAAAAACTAAATTTGTACAGATATTTCTGATTTGTTAAAGCTGTTTGGGTTGGAGTAATTGACCATAGTTGCTCAGGTGAGCGGTGTGGCCCATGGGCCTCTTGTTTATACTAAGTATAAAAGAATTATCATTATCTTAGATAAGCCAAGCAAGGGTATCCTAAGTAGGAATTTGAAGTACATCTTGCTGCAATAATGAAGCCTTTTCCTGGGGGTGGGGTACAACTCTTTTTGGATCATACAATATCATTTTCATTTTTTAATTGAAATCATACAATGTAATCAGGAACATTTTAAAATAAATGTTTCTAATGTTATTATTCAGAGCATAAATTTTTCCAAAATATTTAGTAAAGTCTGACTTTACCACAAACTTTAAAGTTTACTGACCTTTACCGATTTTATTTTGGGACATCCAATGAGAATTTGGGAGCGGATCTTGAACTGAATATGGGTATTTTTCTTACTTCATACGTAAATAATGCAGCAAAAATAAAATAAATACCTCATGAACATTTATATATCTGTTTAGTGATAACAATAAATAAATTAATCTACTGCAGTATTAAACATTTTCAATCAAAAGTCATTACATCACATGAGAACTGTCATGGCTGCTGAAGAAGACAACGTGTTTTCACTCTGGTGTATTTTTTCTTGTGGCGATTTAATAAAACATAAGTTTGTTTGCTACGATTAAATATAATTCATTTCATCATTGAATAAATATTTTTACGATCTTAATTTTGTCCCACCTCATAGTTTTGAGATTTACTATGCATGGATTAAATTTTACAGACAATCGATATTTTAGCAGCATTGATAGAATGAACTGTACGGGCCGCAAGGGCTGACTTCAGACTACCTATCAAGCGTAGTTACCACGACAACCTTTACATATTTAGAAGGCTGTCCCTTCTATATAACGTACCGAAGTTCAATAACAATAATTTACATATTTCACCCTCTTTTTTTTAAAGTTAAAGAAATTTTTGGAAGTGAAGTTATAAATCTCAGCAGTGAAGGTAATAGTAAACATGGCGAACAAATTCAAGTTGCAATCATTTAGACACATTTCAAATTGAAAATATCGGTTGTATTGACGTTATCTAATTATTTCGATTTATTTCAAAGTTAAGAAATGAAAATAATGTTATTGTAATTTTTGGCGGAAAAAGAATGCCTACTTCACTAAGATGTGATTCTAGCTGGAGTTGTACCCCCCCCCCCCCATTTACCCTAAAAAAAAAGCATAAAAGAAAGGAAGGATAAAATAAAATCGGGTATAGTTACATTAATATTGCTCCTACGATCATGAGCTTTTTGCCTCCGTTGAGATTACCAGAGACATAAATAACATATAATAAATGTGTCTCCGAGATGGCGAATGATTACATGTACCCACGTGGCCAGAATATCACACTTGCATGGATAAACTCAGAAACATTAATACAAATACGTGTAAATTTTAATTGGAAATTTGCTATATATTTTGTTCATATATATTTATGATTTCTTATTAGAGAAAATTATAAAATAACAAATATATATCTACTTAGTACAAATTACTTTTGTCTTCTCTGATTTGAACACCGTAATTTAGCGTGAATGTAATACGCACGCGCAAGATTGTAAAATCCAAAAAATCCAGATGATTTCCGGAATTTTTTGAGGAATTTTCGTTGATTATTAATTAGCGAAGCTTAATAGAGAAAAAATAAAAACAAATTGGTAATCTTCAAATACCAATGATGTTTAAAATATATAAAACAAACGACAGTACTCTTCCGATTTATCGGTATTAAAGGCCAAAAATTCGAGTCTATTATTTTAATATAGTAGTATAGATATATATATATATATATCAGAATCAGAAATTTTATATAAAGTCGGATTTTTTTTAACAAATAACATACGCTCTGTAGAGCTTTTGACCGACAAGATTAGTAAGACATATACATAAAATACATAAATGACAATATACACATATAAACATAGTTAAAGTTTCAATGGCATGCAGCACAACAGACATAATTTACACACACAAAGACACACACAAATACACAACAACAAAACAACACATATAGCATGCATTTACATATAGGACAATACATAGAAAGATACATAAATAGAAATAAATATGATTGAAAGGTCAAAGTAGCACTTATACTCTAAAAAGGGTAGTCTATAATTTAATATTTATATAAAATATGAGATAGCACTTTCGCTGGATTAAAAGTTAAACTTTATAATATCATAGTTTTATAGTAAATTAACTCATTAAAAGGAATAAACATACTAAACATAAGAAACAGAAA